AGCACTTTTGTAATCAACAACGTGTCCTTTTGCATTGTTGTATCAATTGCGGTAACTGAAAGTCGTGTTTGTTACTTCTCGAAAACCATTTTAAGGCCGTCTTCTGGCGTCGTCTCATACTTGGGAAGAGCTGCTGAGAATGTTCAAACTAGATTCTATTTTAAAAAAAAACATGTAGTGATAATCTGTTGCAGAAGATGAAATATTTGTCACTCTCAAAGAGCTATAGCCCTTTGTATCGAAGCGTAAAGGTGAGTCGCGAAGAAAAGGTGCCGCCATAGCATAATGGTCAGTCACTTAAAAACGAGGAATGTTGCTACTTTTCTCAATTCATCTTTTTAATGTAAAGTTGGATGTGCAATGTAATCTCATTGTAATTTTCAATTTTGAATTGTTCAACACGTTCGGCATGATATGCTTAGTTAGACCATCCAGAATACCAGGCATGTTTTTGAAATTATGCGGATCACCGATTTTGCGTTTAACCCACTTCAGTAATGACAACGGGGTAGAAAGCAGAAAATTCACCGTATCAGTCAACCCCTTTGTGATTAAATTTGGGAAATCGAAAGGTTTAATAAAGAAGAAACACGAAAATAGTATTGGTCCTACACGGCAAAAACGATAATGGTCGTTGTCTTCAATGCACAAGAGATCCGTTAAGTCTAAGGACATGTTGTTTGTTCGGAAAAAGAATTTTATAAGAAGTCCAAAACCTAGAGGGCCGTTCATCATTTGCGCAGCATTCGTGCACCTCGAGGCTGAGGTGAAATGAGGTGTTGACCATTGTTTTTAAAGTGTAATTGAAATCTTAAGACAGAACTGCTCTTAAATACCAACTGTCATTTAAAAAATCTCGTAGGTCCTCTTATCTAATCGTCTGAAAGTACATGCACGAGAACATACCGTGTGGACTCCATATATCAGAGCAACTGATGCGAACAACAGAAAAAAGGCAGCTATTAGGCATAGAATCTGGATTATGAAGAGACCTGAAACACAAAATTCCAGCATTCAGGTGACTCTTTCCTGTTCTTGTGATTCTCTTAATTTGTGAGCCCCTGTTATGTAAGGTCTTGCTGTCCCAAACAAATATAGCGCGGGTGAGTCAGGCGCACATGTGCTTCGTTCTCATGATCCTGAAGTTTTAAATCGATTGCGGTTTGTTCAAAAGAGCTAGAAGTTAACTGAAAGTCAAGAGAAAGCGACAAACACAATCATCTTCTCTTGTAGCACTTCTTTCACAAGATTCTTATAAAAAGGTTCTCTTCTCTTTTCGGCAAAAACTACATCATTCAAAAATTCAATTTTGTTTGTGAATACCAGCAAGTTCAACAAAAACAATTCTGCGAAGTGTCATCGCCCTATTCTTAAACCCTTGAAGCTTTCATTTTGGTCTGCTTTCATAGGTAAACAGACAGGTGAAAATCGATAACGAAGAGCAAACAAATGGAAAATTCTCAAGATAGGTGACTAACAAACCGGTATAATAGCGCTCCTCAGGACTTTGCCAGTAGGACTCATAGTAGGATGGGATATCGTACTTCCCATATGTGTTATAGTTGGGAAGGAGAGTGTTCGCTGCACGATCTTTCTCATATTTAATTGCTGCCATCTGCCAACCCATTATGCCAAGCTGAGCTATCGAAAAAACCTAAATTTGAATTTTTTCCATTCCTAATTGTTTTCAGATCTCTAATTATATAAGTTGGCAGAATGGCAGACGATCACTGAGGCGCACACCTCTTCCCTCCCAACTTCCACATGTGCAAGCAAAAAAGCTACTGAAGGGGCAACCTAACCAGAGCTGGGAATGGGTAGAAATGTGAACCTTCAATGATTCGTGTAGTCCTGGCAGTCGAAGCTCCGACGCATGGGCAATCCCATTCGCACTGGAGATTCGCCTGAGACATTGTGACCGACCGACAGTGGTTCAGTACACCAGTCTGCCAACCGAATAAGAATAACGAGGCTATCGAGTAAACCTACAACTTGGAAGTGGTGACGGAAGAGCATTTTATTTAGAATCGACTTACTAGCGTCCAGATGCCTATCATCACGGCACTGTCCTTCAGGGTGAAGCAACAGCAAGGGTTGCACGCCATGACTGGGTAAGTAAGGAATTGATCTAATGACTGCTTGGATTAACCGGGACAATCCGTCAGAAACATTCTACGCAATATCGCAAAGCTTCTTTTACAGACAACTTTGTTTCGATGCCTAAAAGTTGATTGGTCCTGAAAAGAACTATTAATAATAATGCAATACTACAAAATTATACTTGAAAAACACTGGCGAGGGCAGTTGTTAACGCTATAAATAAGCCGAGAATGGTATAAATATTAAGTGATTGGCAAGAATGCGAACAAAATAAAGGGGACCCAGAATTTTATTTCATCATATTTTGCAGAATTAAGATTAAATGAGCACGACAGTATGAACCACAGTATGAAGAAAACTATACTACAAATGACGCAAAGGCAGAAGATGCTGCTTTTTAGTTTTGGTGGTAGATAAAAGTTACTCATGATTTTTAGGCTTTTCTAACATAAATAGCGAAAATCGCTGCCAAGCTCACACTAAACCATTTTAAAAGATCGTTTGCTTTCGAACTTTTGAGTGACTTCTGGAAAATACTTGTTTAGAATCATTTCCATCTTATTGTTTCGGCTGTCGAGGCTTTTGGTCGTCTTATAAATAGGTGGAAGTACATACACATTTAATTCGTCATTGTTTTCCTATAATCAACCTTCAGTTTCTTCTATTTCTTATTCTTTTGAATTGCGTTCGCTAGCAGTCCCATAGTCAAGTGGATATTGGGAGCTGGGTATCTGCTTTAGCTAATATGTAAAATGTAAGATATAATGAGTTTTGTAATAAGGTCGTCAAAGAATACAAACATATAAACAGTCGCCAAAGTAGTGTCACTTTTCATCAAATCTTCTATCATTTACCTTTGCTGGGAGAAAAAATGCAGCAAAAGAGGTTACTATTGGCACTCGCAGATTATTGTCCAATTTTACCTCAATAAATGAGTTATAACAAGCAACAGGAAATTCCTTTTTTCTTGCAGCAAATAAGAAAAGGCATGAACACTGGATTAAACATGATCTAGATGTGGTCTTTTGTTGGAATTAATTTTTATAGTATGATTTTTTTGTACCTGTTGAGTTCTTATCGAAGGACTTTGAAATATAAAGCATATTAATAAGTAGGTTCGTCAAGTGTGGACCTATTTGATATACAGTAGCCTTTTTATTGTCTGACAAGTTGTGTATTGAATGCTGTGAGATCGATGAAAGGAACACTATCTCTTCAACATTTAAAAGCACAGAAGACGAGCCTTGCGAGAAGAAACGAAAGGTTAGGACAGACATATTAAGATAAATTATGGATAGGTTGTACGCAACCTGTGATGATGTTTGGAAAAATTCAAGAATTGAAGCCATATAAAATGCTAAAGCATAGGAATTAGAGCAATCAAGGTGTTCGATCGGTGTTAAATGATTTTTGAAAACGTCGTTGACCACTAGAGGCATCAGCTGCAAAAGTCTGCAATTTCGGGTTTCTGAAGGAAGCAGTTATTCTGCCCAAAACACTGGTATGAACGAATCGATGATTGTGTTGCTGAATTGCCCGTCCGATAAAACACTTCTTATCGATGGCAGCAGGGTACGATCAAAGCAACACGCGCGTCTACACGGAGGGACCAATTAAAAGCAGCAGAAGTAAAGTAGAATAATGGACAAGCCAGCGGCTAGCAC